TTTCCTATCAGATCTTACTTTTACTCTATGTCGGGGTGGGGGGAAGGAATGCAGCCACACCTCATTTTTATTTTCTAAGAAAGTTTATGGAGATCCACGTGAGTCCAAAGGCACTATCAGAAATAAAGATGATCTTTACTCACGAGAGTCTTTACCATGTATGAGTGTACATATCCAGTCTAACCTGCAACCCTGGACCTTCATGGTGGTCTATCATCCTCCCCCCCCCCCCATTTATATACTGCCAAAATCCAAGGACTCCTGGCAGTTTACAACCATAAAAACAGAAAACAATAGAAATAAGAACAAGATAAAAACATAATACAAAATCAGTTCAAGTTATAACAAGGTCTGACCCCATTTAGCTTTCCAAGGTCAGCCTACTTCAACTAGGCTAGACTGTGAAGAAGAAACAACATTCCAGAAGAAGGCAATGACAATCCACTTCTGTATTATTGCCAAAAAAACTACCCAGAGTCAAGACTTTGAGGCAGAGAACACAATAACTGCCAAGTTCTTTGCAGGCATAATGGCACATTTGAGTGCCCTGTTGGAGACCTGGGGCTTAGAAGGCCCATGAGGTATTATAACTGCCTTACAGTCCTTATTCATGCATTCTTAAAAGGAAATTCTGGCTATTAAATCAGGTAGTTGCTGGTCCTGTGATCTAACTCTAGACTACACCCAACAACCTAGTGTTCTTGTACTTCAGCTTTTTAAATCGTGGAAGCAACCTATAATTAGTCTAGCTTTGTCCTCTTCTCTACTATCTTTTTCTGAAGATGGCCACCTTAGAACAGAACCATAAATCATCCTATTTATGTGTATACATGTATGTTTGCAGAATACAAATGTATCAAAACATGTCAGAATGAGAGATTTCATGATTCTAATGTTTGTGTGTAAGGCAGAATCTAAGTATGTGATAAGGAGCATGCATTTTGCTAAGTTATAGTTTGCTATGCTAAGCTAAAGTTGCCTAAAATTTGCACAATATGCTAAGCCCTAAACCATGGTTTAAAACCACAATGGCTGAGTTCACTCACAGCAGTAAGACATCATGAGACTAGTTTTGGTCTTAACACTTTCTATGAACAAGCAAATATACCTTTGCCCATTTCTTTGCCTAATTCCAACTCTTCATTTTCAGATGTAAAGATCATTTCCTTCCTCTAGCTTTTCTGACTTTATTTTCTCTCATTTCAGTTGATAAATGTTTAAATGTGTACACTGTAAGGTTAATAGCAAGCTTTAACATATTTTAAATAATTAAAAATACATTTGGATAGGTACTAAAGCTAGTAGCAAGACTTTGTGCCACAGTGTAGCTTAGATTCAATGTGGTGTAGTGGTACAAGTGTTGAATTAGGACTGGGGAGACCCAGATTAAAGTCCACCTTCAGGCATGAGCCAGGCACTCTGTCATTTTAAGATTGTTTCTGTGGGAAAAAACTGAAGAGAAATCCCTGTGTAATCTGCCTTGAGTTCCTACAGAACAGGTAGGGTAAAACAACAAACAAACAATAATTCCAGCATGAGAATGATGGATTTGGGACAGGTCCCAGAATGTCTACATCCAATAGTGGTTGCCAAATGTAATACAAATCATATACCTGTGTGACTTTGGCTTGACTTAAGAAATAAACAGGCCAGAGTTTTTCCATTTCTTTATCTCCATCCAGTGTACCAGGCTCTTGGCATAGAGCAGAAGAGCTGAGCCACGGAGAAAGCTAGCAGCATTCCCAGGTGCCATGCAAAGCCAGGACTGAAGCTGCAAATGTAGGCTGGAGAGAGGGGGAAAGGCTGAGCATTGCCCAACTCCTTTAGGAGCAATTCTATCTCCCATTTCCTGGCCACACCCCCCAGCTCAGGTTGCTTGTGCCTTTCCCATTGTAGACTTCAATTGCCTCTTGTCTTTTCTTCCCTTCTCTTTAATTGTGATGCTCCTGGGAGCCAGACACTATCTGGGGCCTTTGTTACTTGCTTAGAGCAAACTCCCTAGCTTTGATCTCCATTTCAGGGCCTCCTTTTCTTAAGGCCATTCTCCAGGAATGAAACCCAGCAAAGCCAGAAATCTAAGACTCGCTCTGAGCAGTGAGCCTTCCACCCACCTGCTCTGTCTGCAAAGCTTCCCCAGAAGCTAAGGGGTGTGTCTGGTGGCAGTGGAAGGGAAGCATGGCATACATTCTTGAGAGATGTGCCCCCATGGTTGAGCATTCTTGATCATAGACTGCAAAGTGCCTTCCCCAAAACAAATTTTGGGGCATAAAGGTGTTGCTAACACAAATTGGGCTTTTCATAGGAACCTTCCAAAGAATTGGTTCACTGGCTGGGTTTTCACACACTGCATGAAAGCCTTAATGTAGTTTGCTTGGTTTGGGCTTACTTGTGATAATTGGGCTTACTTGTGATTTAATTAACAGGAACAAATTGTCAATCTTAAAAAAATTATGGCGTGGCTCAATACATACACCCCAGCATTCTCTCATAAACATACTCAAATGGAACACTAAGATTTGAGATATTGGAAGCTTGACAGTAAAAGACTACTTATGTAAAATACTTAATGTTTAAAAACAAAGAAAAGAAAACCACATAAATAAATGCTAGATCATTAATTTTTCCTATCACCTGGCTCGGCTGTCTCGCATTTCAGTTGTTCAGGTTTTATAATATTCTCTATTCATTCTGATGACTACATTGTACCATGTTTTGAAAATATGCTAGCCAGACAATAAATGAATAAATGTGATGTGTAATCAGACTGCAGATTATACACTGACTCATTTAGAAGATGCAAAAGAAATTTACAGAAGATTTCTGTTATTTCAGTTTCATTGCCCAAAATCAATTCATGTTAGATTAGCATATTGAGAATTACTCAGAATTATATAAGAAAAGAGGCTCAATTTTTAAAACTCTTTTTCTACACTTTTCCTGCTCCCCACCTGCTTCTACTGTTTGTTCACCCTTAGTCTCTTATGCTTCTCAAAATGCCAATCTGACCTTCCTCCAAATTTCTCTCAAAACTAATTTTTTCCAGACAGTCAATAGAAATTTCCCCTCTAGTCAAAAAACTACCTTGCACCCTTCTGTAACTTCTTACCTCAGTATTTGCTGATTATGACTCCAATCATAGGGATAAAAAGAGAGTTATACAAAGGCAAAGTCATTTTTTGACTCAGGCTTAACTCCTAGTAACTTCTATGTTGTTTTCTTGGCAACAGTAAAGAAGCCGTTTGCTATTGCCTTTATCTGAGGTATTTTCTTGATTTCCCATTCTAGCTTATAGTCCTGGAATCTTCTATCCAAGTGATATATAGGCCCAACTCAGCTTAGCTTTTGAGCCCAGAAAGGTCAGCCATGTGCTGCTACCTCTTAAAGCAATGAGTTATAGTCCAGCATATCTCAAAGGCTCATCCTGGAGAAGGTTTATCTGTGTGGTTACTAAGAGTCAACACGGACTTGATGGCACATAATCAAACAATCAGATAAATCATCTCAAGGACACTAGGTTTGGGAAGACTGCCTTATTTGATCTAAGCTGAATTATATATAACTGAAAGAATTCTTCTGTTGTTCACCCCTACCTCCATCTGCCTTCCCTCTTATTGTTTTCCTGTGTCTATTTTTAAGATTGTAAACTCCAAGCATTCTTTTCCAAATTGGCACCCCCAGAAGTGTTTGAGTACTCAAGAATCTACAGCTTGCACTGGAGAAAGTTGCTCTAGAGAGGATGGCTTGCCAAAGCGATGCTCTACAATACACTGTCAACTATCTGCGAAACCATTCAAGCCACACACTTAGTATTATTGTTGGTTCGTGTTAGCCTACATCTCCTGGATATATGAATTCATTGTTTCTAAAACTCCCTGGCTCTCATTTCTATGCCCTCTGGAAGAAGACCCGCTATCCTACTAGTGATAAATTTGACCACAACCTTGTCTTCTAGTGAAATACCATTCACATTGCAAAGTATGACTAAGATTTTCTCCTAGCATAAACATCAATGGATGAAGCAGACAAAACTGAATAATGCTAAATATTTCATTTTTCATAGAATAATTTATTATTATAAAACCACTTTCCCCAGGAAATTGGGGTAACTCATACCTATTTGTAAAAATGCATTTTTTTCCAATGGATAGTTCAACCCCATTTTAAAACTAAAGTGACCGCTTTAAGAAACGGAATTAGGAGTGAGTCAAAGAAAAGCAGAACCGGATTTGATGGAACTCAAAATAAATTTCTCAAACAATGCTTAGAATAAGAAAGCCCTATGATGGAATTATATGCATATTAACTAGAATTAAGTCCAGTTTAGTACAGTGAGTTACTTCCATGTAAATAAGCATAGGATCGCAGATCAGAACTTGCAAGAGGAAAAGTACAACTTTCAGCTCTGTCCCTGAAACATACTGCTGTAGTTGTTTTTACTATGTCTTTGCTACACGCTTGGAGGTGGAACCAAGTGAGACTCAGGAATCCAGAGTCCAGGTGAAGAATGGAACTCAAGAGAAACAGAGGAAGCTATGAACTTGCAATATGGGCCTCACAGCAGTTTTTAGAGACTGGATAGTTTCTGCCTAGTTCTGCATATGGAATATGGATCAAGGGACTTAGGAAAAGTTGCCTTATCTGGAACAACAGTTAAGCACATGTTTTGAGAAAATTCAAAACAAGGCAACATGGTGGTTGTAGCTGGTAACATCTTTTCCAGACCATGCTATAATTTCTCTCTCAAAGAACCTACTCTGCATTCAATAAGCACTTATGCAAATACTGATGCAAATCCCTTTCACACCAAATTCCATAAGTTATCCATACTCTTTACAAGGATATCCTTTTTGAGAACTTCTTTACCAAAATTCATCTGGTAAATTTTTTGTTCATTCTTTTATCTACCTTTTATTTTACATTCCCAGAGTGGATCTAATAAAAATTTTCTAAATCTGTCTCTTTAAAATATTTTTTCTTTCTTTCTTTTTGTAAGAAAGCTATGTTTAGGCTGTTTTTTTAAAGTTATGAATAATTTTATATATGGAAAATTGTCTTTCTGCTTAATTTGGTTGTGAATGTGGAAAGAAGACACACCACTGATTTGGTAACATCCTAGTGTTAACATGCCAGTAAGATATTTACTCAGCCTGTTTGTATAGGAAAATGTCAACAAAAGAAAACCAAAATGCTTGCACCCAGGCTGTGCCATTGTGTATGATAGTTCCATGGACTTAAGTGTCATAATTGGGATCTCTGTTGCTACAAAGGTCCAAATATGCAACGTCAGAAATGTAGCAGAGAGGGAGTATGAGGACCACTGGATCTTTTTGTCCATCATCCTTTCTTGCAACTTCTCCAGCTATATTTGTTTTTGTCACAAAGCCAAATTAACTGAAATGTATTATGTACTGTAGATTTATATAATGACATCATGAGCATTTTGAACCCATCAACTACATCCATATCCAACAACACGGTTCACTGTGTTTTAAGGACATTGAACAAAAACTGGGAAGGCTCAGGAGGTGGTTTTTGCATTTTTTCCTCAGTAAATGGTGCATCCAGAATGAAGGATGCGTTGTTATGGCATGCACAACCCTGCCTTGAGGAACAGAAGTCTGCTGTCAGCAGAAATGAGCTTCCTGCAACTGGAAGAGTGGAACATCACAGCCAGCATTTTTACAGACTCATTGTTTCACCTTCTGCACAGATTAAGATCAGATCCCTGGGGTAGCTGCTCATCTCAGCACAGGAAAACATCAGTTCAGTCTATGTCCACACTTCTGCTGCACAATGAAATCCTATCCACCATCTAACAAGGAGCAGAGGGCAGAGCCTAAACGTGTTTCTGGGTGATGACATCACGAATGCATTCATACAGATAAATATACTTATCCTAGAGGAATGGGGGAGGGGAAGAGAAAGAGAGATGAAATAGATGAGATGCCACAGATAAGCAGATTTAAAAAAAAAAAATTGTACTGATACTGAAAAAAATGAGAAACATACTGTACATTGAAGGCCATCACACTACACCAGGAATTAGGTCCAGGAAATTACAGGTTCAGGCTAGAACTATTAATGCAGCATGAACAGCTTCATATACTAACAGCATGAGTGCTAACATCTGCCACTGCTTTAGTTACAGGAAACAAACAAACAAACCACAGCCTGATCCCTTTGCTACATATGTGAAAGTTTCCAAGGCTAAACAGCGTGGTCATTAGTGACCTGTATTCCTCCCCCCAGTTGGACTCTGCAAGTGCCAGGGAGTTCTTTGATTACATAAACTTGGAACATGCAAAAGCATCACAGAGCTAAGTGTAAAATCTATGCAATATAAATTTTACACCAGTGCTTCAGTTTCCAGTTTGAGAACAGGTTGTATGCAATGCCCTCTGGTGGCCCAATATTATATATTGTCTTTCAACTCCCTGAAAAATTTACCGATATAGAAGTAAGCTCGTGATGCAGTCTTATGTGTATTTCAGCATAAATCTAGATGAACTGAATTATTTTAAATATATATGATTGAAAATGTTTACATCACTTCATTTAATGCAGTAAACATGCACTTGTCTTTTATTCTTTTATTCACAGTAAAAAGCCTGGTCCATATATTCATAGCATGGTCCGTATATTTTCCTAGTACTAACTCTGCAATATTTTGATTTGAGAAGCCGCAATTCTTCTCCAGATTGGATATTTCCTTTTATGCTGGATATGGAATGGACATGTACCACCAATGGCTGAACATGATGGAGAGTGTAGTCCAATATATCGGGAAGGCATCAGGTTGGGTAAGGCTGACCTAGAGCAATGATCTGTCTCCTGCCATGGTGATGATGAATGAGCCAAAAATGCATCTCAAGTGTTCCTGATAAGAATGTTCTGAAGCATTATATCTAATATATTTTTTCTTCTTCTGACTTATAGTTAGAGACAACCAGTCAAGGGGACAAGCTCCCTATGACCCGTAGAGAGGCAGGCTTTAAGGGCACAGTGACCATGGTGAGTCTATAGGCTAGCACCTTCCATTGCTAGTCCAACTCTGTGCTGTACTTACCAACGATGGAGTCATGAGACAACAGCTTCTCACCAGCCTCAAAACAACGCCATATACATCCACATTTTTCTCCCCTTTCAGCTGCTGCAGCAGAGTATCCAGGGCAATGAGTATCCCCATCTGGCCCACACCTCCCGAACTGGGAAAGAAGTCAGAATCAGTAAGGGTTGCCATAGTGTTGCTATATACTGACATCCAATCCAGACAACAGGGAGTATCTAGTACTCACCAATCCAAGACTGATTCCCAAAAAATATACCCTTGACTCAGGATGGGATTTGGTTTCTTACCTGCAATGCAGGACTAAAGGGTTGGTCCTCTTCCGGTATGGCACTAGTTGTCTGACAACAGTGAGAAAGCCCACCAGGATCTCAGGATCAGGCAACTCTTCTCCTTCCCCCAAAGGAAATCGGAACTGTTGTATCAGTCTTTCCTTGGCCTTTTTCTCCTGACAAAAACAATGAAGACATCAGCAGTGCAAGACAGTACATGAATTAAGAATTCAGTGTAACTCAGAAGCTTATACACACTGAGAAGGAACAGTCCATAAGCACACATTGTCAGTTCAAAAAGAGAGAGAGGGAGAGAGAAACGGTGCATTTTCGTTCTCTTCCATAAGGAGAATCAGGAACAGCAAATAGGAGTGTGATTAACAATATAAGATTCCATTTACTTTAAATGTAGAGCTTTCGCTTCACATGGAAACAAATGCTACTGGGGTTTCTACTTCCCTATCTCCAACCAGCAGCAAAGATAATCAGAACTTGTAATTCCATCTTTTGTGAAACTATGAATGGAATGGGTATGTGTGTGTATGTGTGTGTGTACACACACATACATATACACATACAATACATGTATATCCAGATTACATACTATAAAACCAAGTTTCAACAGTATACGCATGAAACAACAATAAAAATAACCCAAAATCTAGAATGCTATCAGATCTGGGGAACTAAATTCTTCTTTACTTAAAACACAGTCATTAGTTTCTAAGTATGAACAGATCCATTGAGTTCCTCCAAGAAGAAAATAACCGCTCCATTGAGTTCCTTCCCCCCAAGGTGTAACATCTCCCCACATCATCTCCCCTGCTTTGCCTGGTATTGGCAATTCCAGATGCAATAAAGTGATGTCTGAAGAATAAAAAAGATCCATCTAATACCATGAGCCACAAACTGGAAAGAGGGAAGTTGAAATCTTCCTAAATATAAACTTCTGAAGTTTAATTAGTTCTCAAGCATCTGTTGTCAAGCTCTTGTTTAAACATCCATGTGCTGTGCTAGCAAGCCATCTCTGCCGTTATTGTTCACGTTCCCGTGACTGTTCACCTTTCCCCTCCTCTCCGACTCACGTACATATTTTAGTCTGAGCTGAACACAAGGCCATCCTGAAATAATCTTTTCAGGCCCTTGCTGTATGGTCAACATTTCTGTGCAGATGGGTTCACCCTCTGATGGCCAGCAGGACTTATCGGGAGCCTATGCAAAAAAAAAAAAAATGCACTGTAGTTACAAATCCATGTTTCCAGTAGGACTAATAGCATAGCTATTGCTGGTCATTCAAAGTCCTTGAGCCAAGAGTAGATCCATATATCAGCTTCCTATAACTCAAATAAAATTCACAGCACCAGAATACACAGCCAAATGATTGTAGGTGGCTGTTAGTGATCTAATGCTTCCCACGTGAATATTTTGGCAGAGCTCATTCAGATCCCCTTCCCATGTATTGAAAAAGAAGCAGGTGTCCTTTTGTTATCACAATGATGCTGATAAACAAGGCAGTCTTCAACATATTGGAGTCCTACAGAAGGACTCATAAACACGGGGGCAAGGATAGTTATTTATTTAATTACACAATTTGTAGGCTGCTCATTTGGGGCAGCTAATAATTAAAAAATTTAAAAAAGAAAAAAAAAACCTTTAACCTTTAGGAATAATAAATGAACCCAACCATAAAATAAATACAACATCAACATTATACAAAAAGAAAAATATAGTCAACATCACGCATCCACCAAATTCACGTCCTGAATCGCAGTAGGCCCTCCTCCTGTACTTAATGGAACAGCCAGGTCTTAACCGCTCTTGAAACCCAGAAGGGAAAGGACAGACCAGATCTCTGTAGGGAGGGAATTCCAGTGTGGGAGTGCACTTGAACATTTCTGAGGTTGCATCAGGTGGTATTCTCATATAGAAAAGACCTCAAGTGGAGCAGATGGGCAGATAAATACAAGAGATGCTTCCACAAATAACCTGGTCCAGAACCATACATGGCGTTAAATGTGACAACTAGTAACATGAATTGCATCCGAGGCTGTCTGAGAGCCATTGCAACTCTCAGAGCAATGAAATACACCATCAGAGCCCAAGCCACTGCATTCTGAACCAGCTGTAGCTTCCAAGTGTTTTTCAAGAGCAACCTGATGTAGATCCTGTTACTTAGGCAGGAGGTGACTAAGGCATGAGTGACTGTGAGTAGGAAATCTTCCCATGAGTCATCACCCTCCTGGGAAGGGCAGTGCTACTTATGTACGAATGTCTCAAACTTTTGGCCCTGTTCATGACGTAACATCCCAGCTCCCACTTTCACAGAACAACTCTTGTGCAGCTAGGACAGTATCTTAGTGGCATTTCTGCCAATCCTAAATATCCAAATTGAACTCCTCATATTATTATGTATTGCTGAATCATTTAATGTCATTATCCCAGAATGGCCTCTCTTTAGGATTCTGCGAATTTATATAATGACTCTCTTACCGGACTATTTGTCTGCCCAGGTAGTAAAGTGATGATAGTGTGGACACCACGTTCCCAGACTAGTCCCCAGAACTCTTCCAGGGCCAGCTTGTCAGGTCCTTCTATAGCAATATAGTCCTTGGCTGAATTGCAGCCCTATCAAATTAAAAATAAATAAATAAATTAACTAACAACACTAGGGTTTCATTTATATAATTTGCTAGCAGGAGAAAAAGTGCAGGAAATTAAGGAAGCAGACGGCATTAGGTAAGACTAGTCTAATATTGAGATAACAAGGTAAACCTAGTCTAAGTTTGATCTAAGTTTTAGTGTGCCATTAGAAAACCGCAGCTGAGTTACACAAGTAAGTTGCAAATATGCAATATCTGCACCTGTCCTCTTCTCCCATGCAACATGAGAGGTGCCTAGGGATGGGGTACCAGGAGTTGCTGGAACTAGAACTAGAACTTGAACCAGAATCCTCTGGCTCCGGTATGAGTAGCCTTATGGTTGGGCAGGACATGTCAGCAACTGGCAGTACTGAAGGATAAAGCTCTATGCGTGTAGCATTCCATCTTCCCCACAGTCCATAAATTAGTGTACTGCTCTGCAGAAGAATGAAGGATGCTATGCCAGTGCTGAAATAAGGTTTAGTTTCCACACTGAAATAGAAGGTGGAGAGGGGCATCCTCTTATCCTTTGTCAGTGGTAGCAAAAAGTATGGGAAGACGAGGAGAAAAAAATTATTAGCTTTTTCCACACCAAGCATAATTTTATAAACTTTTATCATATCCCCTTTGCGTCCCTTTTCCCAAGCTATACATTTCCAAACATAATAACTTTCCACATAGAGAAATTGACCCAATTCTGGATTATTTCGATAGTCCTTCTGGCATGCTGAAAATTCCTTTGGTTTGAATACATTTCTATGAATGCAACTAAAGTAGTGCTTAACAATTTTGCAAAAATAGTGTCCTGTGGGATGTAAGATATTCTTACCTTTTACTGTTTTTGTATTAATGTATTTTTACAGATTTTTTGGCTCAGGCCTCTAGATTATCAAGATACTTTGGATTTCTAAATATGTCCTCAAAAGCATTTGGAAATGGTCCCTGATTTATGTTAATTTGCAGGCTTTGATATTGAATTTTCGTCAATACCTATGCTATTAATGAAAATATTGAGCTAAGAGTTTCTGCACGATCCAATTATTATCTCTTCCCATCCTGACAAGAACTACATTGTGTTATAACAATAATAATTTTGTGCTTTCAAGTCAGTCTTGACTCCTGGAGACTGCTTGGACAAGTCCATGCAGTTTTCTGGCAATATTGCTCTTGCCTGCTTGCTAGGGCTGAGAGAGAGTGACTGGCCCTAGGTCACCCAGCTGACTTAGTGCCCAAGGCGGGAATAGAACTCCCAGTCTCCCAGTTTCTAGCCTGGTTCCTTTAACCAATAGATCAAAAGTCTTAACTATATACTTTAATATATGCCTTTTATGGATATATAAAATATATATTTTAATATGTGCCTTACGTTCATAGAAGAATAAACAACGAAAATATCTACATGTGTAAAAGATTCCTTTTTTATAAATAAGTCAAGCAGCAAAGCAATAGTTTGGTAACAATAGAAAGCAAAAAGAAGAAAACATAAAGTATGGTGGACTCACAGGGATAAACCAGACATGTGCAAGATCTGAGAATGGATCTCGATCCAGTGGTAAAAATTTCACTTTAGCGCGATCATCTGCAAAACAGAGTGAAGGACAATGGTTGGAAGACACAGTGTATCAGGTCAGCTGAGCCCATCCAGCAGGATTTCACACTTACCACCCCATCTCTTTTATCTCAGCCTAGTTAATTCAGCTATATTATTACTGTTCTTGCTATGCACCCTACAAGTCTCAGAGCAATTAGCCTTTTTATATCAAGGCTTTTACTTTGCCCAGCTTAAACTGTAACTTTTTTCTGAGGAAGTCTGACCTAACCACAGGGAGAGCCACAACTAGAGACCCATTCTTGGCAAGGCAATGATTTCCTACATATTCCTACTGAACAGGACTATCATACCATTGACCGTGGTATCCTTCAGAGATGGCTCTATGGGTTGGGGATCAGGGGTTTTATGGTGGTTCTCTTCCTTTCTCCGGGGTTGGTTCCAGTCAGTGTTGGTTGAGGGAAAATATTGCTCCCCAGGCCTCTCCTTTGTGGGGTGTCACAGAGTTCTACTCTCTTTCCCCTCCTTTTCAACATCTACCTGAAACCACTGGGTGAGATCATCAGCCAGTTTGGGGTTTGGTATCATTAATATGCTGGTGATACCCAATTCTATTTTTTGACCTTGGGATGGCCAAGTGAAGCTGTCAAGGTTCCATCCCAGTACCTGGAGGGCGTGCAGGTCTGGATGGGGAGAAACCATCTCTGGCTCAATCCCACCAAGCCTGAGTGGCTTGGGTGTTTGGGCCGCCCAAATCTGGGGATATTTCAAATGAATGCTATAATTTGACACAGGGATCAATAAAGCAATTTCTCAAACTCTTACTCTCCAACCAGTCTTATCAAACAGCCAACCTCAGCTGCACAAATCTAGATGATCATTAGATGGCAGCGAAGAGAGGGGGGAAAAAACCTCTAACTCTTTGGTGTCACCTAGTGATCCATATGTAGATAAATCAGTCAGCACACATTTTGGAAAAAAATTGTGGATGTAACTGAGAGTACTCCACAGCTGAACAGGTCTTTCATAAACACCCAAACCCCTTTCTTGAACTCCAGCTCCAAGAATAATTATACAGCAGCTGCATCTGGGCTGCACAAAGATTGAGTGGATTGGTCCAGACCTTATATGCACCCCATCAGACATGCTTATGAAATTAGTGGCAAATTTCAGTCAGGGAAAACTTCCAATTACTGCCCTTACAGTATCATGTGGAGAGGTTGTAGGGATAGTAGCTCAGCACGATCCCAATTCAGATGCACATTAAAGGCACACTGTCTGGACAGTACAATTTATACTGATACGATTTACCTCCTGACTCTGCCTCCAAGAGGAAATCACAGCCAAGTGGCTATGTGGATGAGCCCTTTTTTCTCCTTAAGTACAATTCCAAGACATATACTTTTTCTGGCTACAAAACTGTATCACTCACATGGAATCTTGCTGGAGCTGAGGTTGATTTGCTGGTTGACAGAGGGTGGTATGGCAGAATTTATTTCCTCTTTTGCAACCTCCAAGAGCATCTGCTAAAGACAGATAGAATAGAAAAGGAAAACTAAGACTGGGACATTGTTAGCTTCTGGGTTACTGACATACTTTTCATCCTCAAAGAGCTTGGCAGAATTCTGTACCTGTGGGTGTGGGAAGTATCAAACCAGGTCCCCTGACAATTGATAGAGTCACTATGCTCTACAGTCTTTCTAAACATTCAGCCAAATGGATAAGGTCTGTAAGTCATTGGGAGTTGGACAGCATATAATTTTAATAAATAACAACAACAACAATAAAGGCCACATTGATGCAGCTTACATGCATTCAACACTTTTTTTAAAAAAAAAATGAAAACAGTCTCAAACTGTGAGTTTTAATAGAAGAATGTTGAGGGATAAAAACTGAACTCTGCTTGAATAAATACATAGAACATAGGAAGGTACATATAGAAAGCTGCATTATACACTGAGAGAGGCTTTATTTAACCCAGCGGTTTGGACACTGATGAACTGGGGTTCTGAAGGATTTCAGAAAGGATACTTTTCAGCATTACCTAGTGATGCTGTTACTAAATTTGGGCTTCTGCTATGGAGTTAGTCTTTCCCAACTGACACGTATGTGTGTTGTAGGAAGAATCTTCTTAAATTCAGTATCTTCTATGCCAAAATCTTACCTCATATTCTTTTAGGAAGCCAGCATTGGACTGAGAACAGTTGTTTGCATGGTGCTGCACAAAACTCTTGAGAGAGACTGGATGGGAGCTTGAAAAGAGAATAAACAAGTTTACTCAGCTACTGATTACACTAATTTAACATCAGCTGACAACTGTACAAAGAAAAATCAGCAGTTATAAAGACCTGGTATTGTTGGTTGGTACTACCCTATTGGTAAGAAGAAGAACAGACATCAGTATGCTGGGCAAACTACTAATAAATATTAAGATGAAAAAACTGGAGAATTCTATAAATTGTGCTGAAAAGACGCTTATGTTACTGTAATGCAGGGCAGGCAAAACATGCTTGCCATGAGTATGTTGCACGGACTGCTGATTTCCAAAGATCCTTCTCGATGTGAAATAAAAATCCCTAGATTTGTTCCCCTTAGCCTTATACTTACACGAACTCTGATCTGACACAAATAGTGTGATGATCTGCTTGAAGATAAGGGATAGGAAAGTTTCCATGGTTGATTACTTTTGTAGGGCAAGCACTAGTTATGCTAAGAAGGATAGATATGATGGGAAACCTAACAAGGATTTAATGGGGAAAAGAAACTTACATCTCTGAGAGGCCAACAATTGGATCTTCGGAGATCTTCTCTAGGATGCAGCTATGCAGGAAAATGTACTGTCCCTGGAAAGCAGAACATATAGTTTATCTACACAGCACATTTTGGAGTAGAACTGCTACAGTATCTAATGCTAGTGCACAATTGAGAGTTTCTATCCACTGTGGGGATTGTCAAAACTACAGAAAAATCCAACTGTGGGGATTGAATTAGGAGGCAAGGATAAGCAGGACAAGTCTGAAAGTCTGAAATCCAGTCAGTGATACTGTGACTGGTCTCTAGACTTGACAGGGTCTCCCACGCCATGTCTTCTTGGTTCTTCTATGTAGCACAATTTCCTATCAAGCCTTCCATTTGTAATGTCTGCTTCTTATAACATCTGAAACATGTCTCTGATCTCTTACATTATTTCCCTTTATTTTCCCTACTGAAAATTGGCAGGGCATAGTTCCACCAATTTCCAGAGTTTTGCCACCGATTTTAAGCACCATCTTGGGGGCCTCAGAACCACACAAAAAGGACATGGAATTGTATGTGGGTCATAGGCTACACACTCCAGTGTAATAGTACTTTCATCTATTTTAGCTTGGTAATCATCAGTTCTCATTACTAAGGCTTTTAGTTCTTAATAAAGGATTTCTTTCCACTATGATTTCAACACCTCCATGGCCACAAATACTCCATGGGAAAGATAAAACTTTCTTGTATCCTTAAATGATTGGAGAGTTGCAGATCTAAGAGAGAGGTCCAAGTTGTCTCACCAGGGTCTCTATCATACGATGGCGGTTCATCCGAAGACTATAAATGGTACCGAAGATATCCACCAGATTCTCATGCTTTAGCTGCTGCAGGAGCCGATCAAGGGCAATGAAGGTGCCTGTGCGGCCCACCCCTGCACTGCAATAAGAGTGAAACCAGGGATTTTCTCAGCAAAAAAATTCATGTTTTGTTCATTTTACCCATTTTCACCTCCATTCTCTCCAAATCCAACATATAAAGGATTTGGACAAGAAGTAGTTCCTATTCCTTCAGAAGATGTAGAAGATGTAATATAATCCCTGCCTTAGACTTTCTCATCACCATAGTTAAGAAATCATTTCTTCTTTTAACACAAGGATGGCCAGTATTTTGGTAGCCAAGGGTTATACTTAACATTTCTGGGGGATGAGGATTGATGCATAGAGGGGCACATCCCCCTATTGGACAGGAATGACTTTGGGGGAGACTGTGGAAGTCTAGTTGTTGTGTTTAACTGAACTATGCCTATTTTGAGCTTATCTTACAGTTTTCTTGTTTCCCACCTCAAAATGGAAGGAAACTGTGCCTTCAGTTTTCAGCAATCAGTGTTATTAGAACAAGCCTTCTTGTTTTAACAACTATTAATGGTAGAGCAACACTCTCCTCATCTACATCTTCTGAAGTTAGGTTAGACTAGTGCAAAATGTATATAATTCTGGTTCTAGGTAAAGGCCTTTTTATTTAGTCAGCTTTCTCTTTTATATATAAACAATCTAGAATAATTAATCCACTCAACCAATTCTCTTGGTAGCTATCTTCTACATTTCTCTAGTAATGCTAATGAATTGTTCATGAAAATATATTATACAACTTATATAAGAATATACTACTTTTACAACGCAAGCAGAGATTGCTTCTTTGAAAGCTCTCCAAACTGAAACTCTGCATGTCAGCAATATCAGAAAAGATGGCAAATTAGAACTCTGAGTTCATAGCCTTCATACATGAGGTTTGATGCCTCCCCTTACCTCCATTTTGAAGTTGTATTGTTTCAGGAAGATCATGCCACATGTCATTCCTGAATGTAACACTATTTTTATCACAAGAATGAATCTATGTAAACATTTTTCTACCTTTGCAGATTCTAATAAAATGAGTATTCATGTGGGTTGATTGCAACTTACCTACCATGTACCAGGATAGGTCCACATTCATTTACACTCTGCATGTGTGCTCGTACCAGCTCTATGAAAGCAATCATAGAGATGGTAGACTCAGGAACACCATGATTAGGCCATGCTGTGTAGTGTAGGTGACTCACTCTTCGTTCCATATTTAGTCCTTTCTGTGATAGGAAAGGACTATGTTAATGTCCATGATAGGAGGTCAGGTACCAGAGATGATCTGGGCCAACAAAGACAGGAACAGACTGGTAGACTCAAATAACTGAGCTATCATATACCACAGACTAGGTCCTAATCTTGAAATTGCAGGTGACAGAGCCTTGCCCTGGTGGATTTTAGCTACTGCAAACAAGAAAGCTGATCCAGGAAGAGTCCCTATTAGCTAAGAATCAGTTATTACAGCCCAATGTTTAACAGAACCTATTTGCAGTTTTGATTTGGGAAGATTTTTGAGATCTGTAATGGGAGTACTTTGCAGGGCTTCTACTTACATGCTGCAGTTTGAATTCCCGTGTTGTCCACTCATCAGCAAAATTCTGAGCAAGTAGATGAATGCTAATTTCTCCAGAAGAGACAGGAGAGGTGTCTGTTGGCCAGTAGTATTCACATAATACCTATAAAAATAGGAGGACTCAATGAACATTTTCAAAGGATGTAGAAGAAAAAGTAGTCTAAACAATGTTAGCACAAAACAGTCATGCCAACTCTAAAGAGTATTATTCCTGGTTGTTCTTGCTCAACATGCTTTGTGCAGCACAATATACTAGATAGTAAGGATAGGCTGATTATTTCACCAATCATAAACAGATGGAAAACAGTGTACTGGAGATCAGAGTTAGCTACCCATTGCACCTCAAGAACCATACACTGAAATTAACACAAATCTACATCTGAGTCATAACAGATCGATTATATTCATATTTTAGAGATCAGCATTACTGAGACTGAAAATGAAGCAAATAATAAAAGACCAGAAAGTAAATAACTGGGCAATGAAAACTCTTGCTCATCTACTGCATATTCCCCAGAGATCTACCTGTCGATCTCAATCTACTTTGTAACCAAACAGGATTCAAACAAATGCTTTCTCTGCAGCAAATGTCTGTTGAAATAACTCCTACCACATTTGAAATCTTGGTCAATATTCATTTTGTTTGTCCTTTAGTATATCCTTTATACTAGTGTTTTTGGTAAGGTAATCATATACGATATGAATAAGTTAAGGTAGCAAGTTAAGTTTCAGACATATTTGATACCTATCACCTACGCAAAGTAGTTAGTACATAGGTTACTTATCAAAATCTCTTTAGAAAAGAAATATATTTAGAAATTTGCAAATACTTTGTTCTTGGGTTATACGAATAAGTTTACAATTATTGTCACACACTTCCATAACTGAAAGGGAATGTTGACTGAGAAAACAGCTGACCAGAACAGAGTAAAGCTCACCCTGCTAATACTTCTAACTCAAGATCACAGTTTCCCAAAGCTACAATCCATTATTTTAAATAGAAATCTTAGGAATATATTAAGTATCTGCATACTTAATATATAAGTTATATATATTAAGTATCTGTGACCTTCTGCTAGATCTCAAAAAATAGGCCTCTGAGAATATCGATGAAAACAAATCTCTCTCCCTCATATCCATTCAGGACCCACTCACTGTTTAGGAAGCACTGATGTGTTGCCGTGAGAAATAATCACTGTCCTCTGTAGACCAAAAGTGATGTCCATCAGACCTACCCGTCCATTCTCCATGCCCACTGTCAACATCACAATAGTGCAGATGTTCTGCTCCCAGACCAGTCTCCAGAAATCATCCAGAGTTTTTTTCAAAGGCCCCTGGGTAGCAATGAACTCCTGTGGGGAGTTGTAACCCTGTAACAACAGAAAGTGTTTTCAATAATAATGGAACATTTTTACTGGAGATAGAAACATAGAAAAGCAATCCTCCTCCTCCTCATCTTGAAAAAAATCTCTCTCTCCTCTACATTGTTAATTTAAATCTTAAAATAAATATGGACACGATCCAGCAAATGTTTGATATATCTCGTCTCTATTAATTCTTTCTGCATTATGCTTAAGAAGTCTTGTAATTTCTTAAGTAGAATGTTGATGTAATTAGCCCTCTTCAAATTATCTTCAAACTGGGGTTTTACATAATTGACTTTCTAATTCTATAAAATCCCAGTTCTACAGAATCAGCTTTCCAATTCATCAGGAATATTGCTGAACATCCTTTTAACATATTTAATAATCAAGGAGAAATATACTGTAGCTAAAAAGCTCAAAATCCATAATTCTTTCACATCCCATATTCTACAGAAATGATTTAATGTACAGTACAGTAAGTAGATAGATACTGAAGAAAGGGGAAATGATCCTTTCTAATAATTAGTATCCAGGATGAAGGAGAGATTGCCTGGCAAGATAAAGTGAATGGAATCAGCATAGTGCTATTTGGAGAAGAGGATGCTACACATTTATTTATTGATCAATTTGTTTGTCACCTCTATCACTGGAATAACTCTAGCAATTTCCCAGAACTACATAATCTTTTAGTTGAAGGAACTCCGAAAATTCCAGAACCTCTCTAATAAAATTCTGCTAAAGAAAATTCTTTTCTGTCCAAACTAGATAGGACTCTATATGTGCCACTAGTTATATATGCGTAAGTATTTGGAGCTGGGTCATCCTAGGGTGGGAGGCAGGTTAGATTAGATTTCACATTTCTCCTGTGAGAGGGGCCAGTGCAGTCCTTCTTCCACAACATGTCAGCTTCACAACAGACTCTCTTAATCTAGAGATTTCCCTTTTTCCCTTCTTATTTTGCTGCCACACTTCCCTGAAGATCAAGATCAGACCCAAGACGGCCAACAGTTTCATGGACTGTTCACTGTGGATATATTGGAGGACTTCTCAAATGACTGGGGTTGAGCTGGGGGCAGACCTCCAGTGACACCTCTCTACCGTGGCATCCCAGGAGACTGCACCCAAAGCCATAGCTGTCAAGTTGCTGGCCACAAGCATATAACATTCCTACAAGCCAGAGGGTCAATGACTATTTCTGTAGGGAATAGGATGGCCCAGGCACTGGAGGGATGAAAGCCAGCAGTGCCAGGCCCCTGATCTCTCTCCTATTCTGTAATGGGGAAACATCAGCTTTTGATCTCTTCAACTGGGCTTGTCAGTTAGTATCTTCTTCTGAAGCCTGCCCCCAGCTTTTTATATCTGGAGTCCCCCAAGGAAGGCCAGGCAATAATTAATTGGCCTATGATCTTGATGAATCAGGCCCACACCAAAACCATCTACCCCATGAGGAATACAAAGAACAGGAAGCACCATCTTAAGGATTTTCAACCAGAGTAATCTGTAGGAGGAGCAAGCACAGGAGGCAATTGACCACTGTCTTTTCCCCTTTCTATACCCCCTCTTTCTTGAAAGCTTCATCCGAAGACCTCAGCCTCAAGGGTTGGAGCCCAGGCCATCAGAATAAAGGAGGAACACTCTGTTATTACCTTATATTGCACGTGAATCAGTCACCTCCCTTCAGGACATTGGATAAGGAGGAAGGGAGTTGTCCCTGGGTGGGAAGGGAGACCAACAGCCATTTGCTAAATACATCAGGCTTTTTCAAAAAGGAAACCCCCAGTACCGCAATACTCCCCTCCCCAACCTCATGGATTCCCTAATGGAACTGCCAGAGACAAAGCTGAAAATCTCAACTCTCCAGATATTAGTTATACAGGAACTAGCTTACTTGGCAGAAAGCTCAGACACCATTAGTTTCTTTATGAATGAAGACATATATGCCAGTACACAGGGGCTAACCCACATATATTGGACTATGCTTCAAGTTTAAATTCCCACTTTTCCAAATCAACAGATTGGGTGTTCTCTTGCTGGCTTTGGAAGGCACTTGATCTGTCTTGACATAATTGTTCTCTCTAACAATGGAACTGATACCTTCTTTGGCAGTTTCACTCCTTACTCTGGGAGAGGTATTCTCAGTAGCTAACATCACATGTTTTCTATTTCCCAAGACCTTTAATAAACCCTTAAGACAGAGTAGGGGCTCTAGGGTGGCACTATCCACAGGCACTCTAGACCTTCTCAAGACCCCCCCAGTTGTTGTTCCTATGATAGTTCTAGTTTTGGGAGAGATAGTAAAGATATGGAGAGCATCTCCAAACATCTGGAGAACAGCAGGAGGGAGATTTTTTTCAGTGAGAATGCACAAGGCTGCAATCCTAGCCATAAGGGCCTCCCTGGTCACATTCATCTTTGCTAGAGGCCAAACAGCTGTTCCAACTCATCCCCACAGCACAGATAGCTCAGGCATGGCACAAATAATCTAGCCAAGTCTGTCAATTCATGGTAGATGTTAGTCTGAATAATGTCCCATTCTCAGCCAGAGTGATTGTGGCTAACATGGCTTCTACGAGACAACTATGGCCAAAGTCCAAAAATCCCAGAGATGCATGGAGATCTCAGTGAAAAGCTGTTAAGTGGTGGCTCCTGGAAGCTCTATCAAAGGGAATGGACAAATAACCTTCTCACCAAGTTCATCAGAAATGCCAGCATCAGAGTATGGGGATTGCTGTGCCTTTGTCAAGTTGCCCAAGGCAGTATAAACTTGCTGGAGACACATAGCATGCCTAGCTCTGATAAAATTCTCAACTCTCCTAAAGGGCCAGCAAATTCTCCTCCTAGCAGATATTAAGACATCAAGAGAGAGGGAAGCAGCAGATCAAGGCAGCTGATGAAGGAAGCAACAAAATCTCCATGTTGTACCAAAGAAAATGTATAATCTGTCATGCCACATCCAGGGAATTCAGAAGATAGTGATGAAATACCTCAGCATAAAGTTCTGAACACCTGTGCCACCTAGGAGGTATCTGCAGACTGTCCATATGCAGGAAGGTTCTGTGGAAAATAGTTTCTAGCAAGAAGTAGGTATATAGTTATCCTCTAGATGTATGATCCCACCTGCAGGGACAACCCTAGTATGTCCTACTGGTATGCTCTGGCACTGCTATAGGAAAACGGTACATTAGACTTACCATGAAGGTTCATCTTCTGTAGCAGAGACTGGACATCCAGCCCACCCATTTGCAGCTAACAGTACATAGTTTTCATCTCTCTTTCATATTCCTACTTTCTCAAGGGATAGGGGATCAAGCCATCCCCTCCTACAGAATCAGCATCAGATCTAATCTAAGTCCTGCCTTTGGAGCAAAGAGAAGTAAGATACCCACTACCAGAAGCTCTGTATCCACTGCGGAAAATGGTTAAGTCAAATGTACTGTTCCTCCTCCACTCCCAACAACACTCCCCACTGACCCATGGCTGTTTTCAAGGGAGGAAAAACCACCATGCCATTAACTCATCCCTGTGCAGTCCTAGGCCTCATTAATCCACTCGCTATGTGCCTTACATTAAACCTAAGATAATTCAACCACCATTCAAATAGAAATGCAATTGCATACAACTGATTCGTTAGTCTTTCATTCCTCTCCATCTAATCTTATCTCCGGTAATGATGGATAATTATTTGTCTAAAGTGTGGTGGCCAGGAATGGGAAATTGCATGGACAATAATAGGGCAAAACAAAAACAAGAACAAAAACCCAAAAACCATTATTTCTACCATGCCTTCCAACTGCCTGGAATGGTGAGGCACATGAATTGCCTGGGTGGACAGATAAGACCAAGGATTATTCTCATCTTGTAGTTTCTTTCCAGCAGCGTCTAGCCAGGTGCTTTAAGCCAGTGCAGAATGTAAAGGAGATACATTTTTACTTCTGCTAAGGAAATCTGATCCTACGTGAAAAAGGTAATGTGCAAGTTAAGCACAGTATTCTTACACAGGCATGCAAACATGACTGCTGTGCAAATAAATACACTGTCCATGTACAACTAGACAGGCATGTACATGCAAATATAAATTACTGCATGCACACACATAAATGTGGGGGCGGGGAGGGGGTAGCCTTTACCTGGATAGATCACCAGAGAGGCATGAGGATACATCCAAGCTTTTTAATATACAGCTGTAATTAGCAAGAAAAAGAAAAGAGAGAAGTAACATGTTTAGAGCAACAGGGCTGCTCCAGGAGCGCCCTTGCTGCATTAAATCCAAACACACCTATTCTTCTCCAGGATTAATTTCTAGGGGAAAAAAAAC